TCTTGAGGAACCGCCAATCCAGCAGCTACTCAAGAACTTCTCAGCATTTCATGCAGCCCGAAAGTTCATTACCGTGTTGACAAGCGCCTTCCACTGGTCCCTATCCTGAGCCAGATAAATCCAATCCGTACCATTCTATCTCTCTAAGATCAATTTTAATATTGTCCACCCACCTACGCATTGGTCTTTCCAGTGGTCTCTTTCCTCCTGGCTTTCCCAAGAATATCCTATATGCATTCCTCTTCTTCCTCTTTCATGCTACATGCTCTGCCCGCCTCATCCTCCTTGACTTGATCATTGTAATTATACTTGGAGAGGAGAACAGTTGAGATGCATATGCGTCAGAAATAAACATTACGTTTAAGACTGTCTTAAATATGAGCCTTAAATTGTAGGCTACTCGTACAGTCATTTGGCATGAAGGTTTTCAGGAAATCTTGTTTTATTTTTTGCCGAAAATTTACAAAATAATAAAAATATTTTTATGTAGCTCGTTCCGCGAAGTGGAAACCTTGAGGAACCTACAGTCGCCCTCCTTTTATGGATTCCGAAGTTTCATTGTGGTATCCACACGGGTCCGCCTCTCGTTCTTACCCTGAACCAGTTGAATCCAGTTCACACGCCATATCATTAGCATCAATTTAATTATTATCCTTTCATCTACGACTGGGTGTTCCAAATCCTTCCCTTCATATTTTCAGATTGAAATTTTATGTAATTTTTTAATTTTACGCACAAGCGCTACATGTCCAATCTCATTCTTCTTGACTGATCACGCCAATGATAGACTGTGCGGTGAGGAGTACTCACTAGAGAGCTCCTCATTATGTAGCCTTCCGCCTCCTGTTACTTACTTACTTACTTACTTACTTACTTACTTACTTACTTACTTACTTACTTACTTACTCACACATGGAGCTGAGCCCGCCAAATCGGCGGCTTCTCAAGGATTTCCCGGCTTATTATGGAACCCGAAGGTTCATCACTGTGTTCAAAAGAGCCCTCCACTCGTCCCTATCCAGAGCCAGATCCGTCCAATCCTATCTCTCTAAGATCTATTCTAATATTGTCCACCCACCTACGCCTTCGTCTTCCCTGTGGTCTCTTTCCTTCTGGCTTTCCCACCAATATCCTATATGCATTGCTCTTCTCCCCCATTCGTGCTATATGCCCTGCCCACCTCATCCTCCTTGATTTGATCATTCTAATTATATTTGGAGAAGAGTACAAGTTATGAAGATCCTCATTAAGTAGTTTTATCCAACCTCCTGTCACTTCATCTCTCTTCGGTCCAAATATTCTCCTCACCACCCTCTTCTCAAACACCCTCAGTCTATGTTCCTCCCTTAATGTCAGAGACAAAGTTTCACATCCATACAAAACCACAGGCAAAATTATAGTTTTGTATATTCTAATTGTTATGTTTTTCGACAACAGACGAGAAGACAAAAGGTTCTGGTCTGAATTGTAGCAAGCATTACCCGAGTTCAATCGCCTCTTTTTTCCTCCTGAATCAGGTTTCGATCTGTTATCGTTGTTCCCAAATATCTGAACTGTGCCACATTTTCATAACATCTGTTTCCTATTTTTACGTCATAATTTTGCCCTACATTTTGGTGACGAGACAGTAACATATACTTAGTTTCCTCAGTGTTTACTTCTAGACCAACCTCTTTACTTGCGTCAATTAAAGTTTGTGTTGTTCTTTATGGTAGCTACATTATCACCCAGTAGATTCACATCATCGGCATAGGCCAACAGCTGATGTGTCCCGTTTAATTTCAGTCCCACCTGGTTTCCTTTTACCTTCCTAATGGCATATTCTAAAGCAAGGTTGAAAAGGAGTGGCGATAAAGCATCTCCTTGTTTTAGACCAATCTGGATAGGATATTTATCAGACAAATGTTTACCTACACGGACTTCAATATACGTTTCGTTTAAACACATTTCAATCAACCTAACTAGTTTCATGGGTATCCCAAACTCTATCAGAATATTGTAAAATACTTCCCTCCTAAGTGAAGCATAGATTTTCTTGAAGTCTGAGAATAGCTTATGTAGTGTTTCATCGTACTCCCATTTTTTCTCCAATATCTGACGAATGCAAAAGATCTGATCTGTAGTTGATCTGTTACGTCGAAACCCAAACTGATTATCCCCAATAATTTCATCTATATATGGATTTAACCTTGAGAGAAGAAAAATGGATAAAATTCTGTATGAAGTTGGTAGCAGTGATATCCCTCGATAATTACTACAGTCGGTTTTATCGCCTTTCTTGTGAACTGGTACAATAATATACTCCTTCCACTGATCAGGCAATTTTTCTTTATGCCAAATAGAAGTAATTAGATTGTGAATCTTAGAATGTAACATTTCACCTCCTGCTTGAATAAGTTTTGCCGGAATTTGATCACTACCTGGTGATTTATACCACTGCAATTTTGCAATAGCACTTTCAACCTCAAAAGGGCTCAGATATTAACGGCTCAGCTGTATGGATTTCTGTCTGCCTAACAGCACTGACCTTATGTACAATCAATAACAGAGAGGTAGTTCCTCCACTTATTCAGAATGTTGTGGGAATCTGCAAGCAGATCACCATTCTCATCCTTCACTAAGTTATTGCTAGGCTGGTAACCCCTCTTAAAGTCATTTATTCCTCTATACAGGTCTCTAATATTCTGGTTCTTACTGTTCATTGCAAGCTCATCACTTTTGTCTCTGAGATATTCCTTCTTTTTGTTCCTGAAATGCCTGCTGGTTTCACGTCTTATATTGTTCAGATTATCCCCATTTAACTCGCTTGGATCCTGTAACCATTGCAATTTGGCCTGCTTTCTTTGATCTAATAATTTTGAGCATCCTTCATCGAACCATGGCTTATACTTCTTCGGTTCATAATAACCTAGACTCTCTTTGGCAGGCATTTTTATATTCTCTCTAATAGTTTCCCAAGCTTTATTAACATCCACCTCAGTGTCCAAGTTTTCCAAAGCCGCAAACCTATTTGAGATTTCAACACAATACTACTCTTTACTCTCTACCTTATTTAATTTCTTGAGATTGAACCTCTCCATATGAACTCTGTGTGTTTGTTTGCTCACTGCCAGTGTTTCCCTAACCTTTGCCACCACCAGGTAGTGGTCAGTATCACAATCTGCTGCCCTGAATGATCGGACATCAAGTAAACTTGAGTGCCGTCTCCTGTCTAGCAAAATATGGTCTATTTGATTGTGTATCTTCCCATCAGAAGATGTCCAAGTAAATTTATGGATGTTATGATGTGGGAACATTGTACTTTTGACAGTAAGATTTTTTGATGTAGCAAAGTTTACAACTCTAACTCCATTATCATTCCTAATTTCATGTAAACCCTCATTCCCAATCGCTGTTTTGAAAATGTCTTGCCTCCCTACTTTGGCATTGAAATCTCCTAACAAAATTTTCATAGGCCTAGGAGGCCTACAGCATAGGCGTCAGTGTAAAACCCCAGTTCAAAAATTTAAAAAATAGTGACAGTTTGTGGGAAATTGACGCTGTCGCACGCACCCATTGAGCTGTCCTGCACTTCCAGGATATAACGCGTGTAACGTTGTTGACTTTTTGTGTTGTATTCGAATTTTATCTGCTCTAATAATAATTAAATTCGGTTTTTTTATTTATTTACGCGCTGAGCTCGACAACCAGTGGCCAATTACAACAACAATAAGTCAATTCAATTCAATTCAATTCAATTCAATTCATGTTTATTTACGTGCAATAACTTAACAGCACATTGGCCAATTACGAAGTTAGCACGAGTACATAAGGTACAGAAAATAATTAAAACAAAATACAAATATGACAAATAAATCTGTGAACATAAATACTAAGATAACACACCTGGGAGTGGTAGCATAAAATTAATAACAAGTCAATAAATTAAAACCAATTACATAAGAAAATTAAAGTTAGCCGATGTATACACATTTGTAGTGAATGAAAACACTAATGAAGTAACACCGTAAAAGGTTTCGTACATGCTTGTAAAATATGATTCAGAGAAACCGCTCCGTCTGCAAATATGTCGAGATCTTTACCCACCACGTTGGTAGCAAGGGCGCACCGAGAAGAGGGACAGTGTCTTTTTGAGGGACGAACGCTAAAAGTAGAGACGTCTCGAACATGGAAAGTAGGAACACGAAGACTAGCACAATAATAATAATAATAATAATAAATCCATTAACATAAAACAAAATTATCATTAAGGAGTGAGNATTTATTTACGTTTTAAACTCAACAGCCAGTGGCCAATTATAAAGCCAACACGAATACCAACAACAGCAGCAATAAGAAAACACGGGGCAAAACAAACAAAAACAATAAAAAACTCCAGTTAAGGTTGTTTGTTTTTAAACCCTAGTATCTAAAGATATCCGTAGATTTACAGACTGCATTAGCAACAGAAACACATCGAGCTGAAGGGCAGTGGCTGGAGAAGCAACTAAACATAGTAAAGTTACGTATGCTCCGAGTAGGAACATGAATGCCGGGGAGAGGGGCAACATTTAGCGCCGTTATGAACATTTATTGAAAATAAAGCATCAGATTGAAGATGCCTGATGTGCAGTGTCATCAAATTTAATTCTCCCAACAAACTGTCACAATGATATTCCGTATCTTGAAAAAATCTGTTGTGGCAAAGCGCTTCAAATTTCCTTTGTTTGTTCTCAAGTTTATTGGAGTTAGTAATCGTAACAGAGTTCCACGCAACAGAATCATACTCCAGTTTGAATAATAATATTAATAACAACAATAATAATAGTAATACTAATACTAATATAAAGGTTCCAGTAAGCAGCTGGTTTCGGCTCTTCTAATTCTGAATTATGCTTGCAGATTTACTTTTGCACACGTATATAATGACGAGCAGGGTAGGCAAACTGTATTACAGAGTATTGCTGATGCTGAGTGCAGCAATGGGAAGATGATATGGCTCAACGTTGTTTGCATTGCAGGTGAGAGAGCTCGTGGAAAGGTGTACCTGTCCCGTGCAGTTTCCCATGATCCGCGTGTCCGAGGGGAAGTACCGCATCGGAGACACGAAAGTGCTCATCTTCGTACGGGTAAGTGGACACCGTCATCGATGTGAGCACTCTGTATAATATTGTTATCACAACGCACAATTCTAGCAGCCAGTACTGAAATTATGCAGTTAAGTGCGGTTGGATTTTAGTTTGTAAAAGGTAAGTTTTGTTAGATGTTTTAACATATTAGGACCAAATATCTGCGCATTTTAATTTTACACAGTCTCAAGTTTACTTCCGGTATAGAGTAAAACTTATAGTCGCGATATGCTTTTACACTTAGGATTACTAATTTTACACACCGCTGTATTTTGACCATGAAAAGCTGATGACAGGGAACCCATTAAAATGAACTTAATTTTAGTCCTTGCAATTATCGATTGATCATTTTAAGCGCGCTGCCGTGACAGGGTTTCATAAGTTCTAATTTGAATGCGTGTTATCAGTCTTATTAATTTTACATTTCGGCCTCTGCTATACGTTTGAAAAGTGAGATTTGCTGCAAACTGCAGAAGTTGTTTGTTTCGGAATAATGAAAATTCTAAATTTTCAATTCATTGAAATTTGTGAACATATAGTTATCTCTTATAATTTAAGTGTATTACGAACATTCTGCGGACTTTGAATGATGAAGATCTCCCATTTAAGTGAGTGATGTCAGAATTAAGCATGCATGTGATATTGTGACCACCGGTGATAATTTGTATCAGTGCAGAGAAAAGGAAAATGCATTAGTTAACTCGGCTTTAACTGGAGGGAGAGGAGTTTCCATTTAATCTGCGAATACACGAGAAAATAAGGATCCATACTACAGCAACGGAAATCCCCCTTTTCAAATCAGGAGCGGGCTATACGAATTATTAGACAAGAAACTTAATAAAGGCATGACACAGAAATTTCAGACGGTTTAACTATAAGTAAGAAATATCAGGAAAACTGATAGGAACACATAGGAAAAATTGTGGAGCGGCTCAGGAAGTGTTCATGGTAGAAATCGAGTGTTACCCGGTAGATATTTACAGTCGTTTCGGAGGAAAGTTCTGCCTCCATTTTCAGGGCAGGCCATCACCCTCTGGACTTATGATTGAGGCAGATCGTTCCTCCGAAATACCTCTAAACATCTACAAGACTGCATAGAATCATGGCAATCTGCATGGTCATCTTTGTGAGGACTTCAGATCTCACACAGAATGCGCATGCGTCACACTAGAGTGTCTTGTTGATTACAGGTCCTCAGAAACCACGTTATGGTGAGAGTAGGGGGCGGCTGGGATACCTTGTCACATTACTTGGACAAGCATGACCCCTGTCGCTGCAAGACAGGTATGTAACGACTCGTCACTAATTTGAACTGATCTCGTCGTTACGGGTAGGAATGTTACAGTGACAAGTTATGTCTGTTACAGGCCACAGAGTTCCACTCTCCACAAAGCTGATTCTTAAGTCAAACGGACCTCTGGAACTTAGCACAGCCCAAGTGCTCTATGAAAGGTACGTGTCTATAGGAATGCAGTTGGTCTCTGGAGCGTTTATTATGAATCCAATTAGCAGGACTGAATAAGCATTTTTCTTTACATGTGTTATAGGCTTTACGAATATTTCGTTTTGAAATAATTGATAAGGTATTTATTTGGCTCATAAATCAGGACTATATTTGTGCTGTCCTGCAATGCGTGTCATTTCAAGAACCGCTGTTAGAAATGTGAAAAATTTACCATCCTGTTAGCTTTCTAATGGTCTCCAAAATTAAAATTGTTAGCCCTTAGAAAATACGTAGCCAAAAACTTTTATTTATTAACATAGTTCATATCTCTTCTCAGGAGAACGTTTTCATTTATTGATTTTCTGCATTTAAACCATTTGAATCCCTTCAGTTTCATTAGTTGCTGGATTTGAATGGAGGCAACATAGATAAATGTTTAGGATGGCGCTTCTGTGAACTTACTGAGCACAGTAATATTATCCATTATAATGCCTCTTTCATAGACTAAGTATTTTATTAGTTAAGATGATATTTTGGTCACCATAAAGTGACCTAAACTCAAGAATATACCATTAAATATTCCATTTTGTTTAAGTTTCTTTTTACATAACCTTAACCGTGTTTCAGCATATATAGTTTCGGGAAAATATTTTTATTAAATCTGTATATGTCTGAACAGTGAGGCATACTGCAGTAAATATGATACATAATTTGTGAATGATGTTACGGAAATGTTGGTCTGGGCCTTGAGTTGGCAGTGGGGAAAATTATCAAGCCTTTCCCTCTGTAGACTGCATAATATAATGCACAGAATTATAAGTTCAAAGCTTGTTGTCATAAATTGGGTACTTTCATCAGATTGTCAGATTTATGTCAATATAAGTTGTCTTGTAGTATATGCACAAAGTTTAGGTGAGTTTCACACAAAGGACACTACGCTGCGGGGCTCTTAAATCCTACTTCAGGGCTTTTTGGGTACTTTCATCAGGTTGTCAGATTTATGTCAATATAAGTTGTCTTGTAATATATGCACAAAGTTTAGGTGAGTTTCACACAAAGGACACTACGCTGTGGGGCTCTTAAGTCCTACTTCAGGGCTTTATTCTTCATTTTCTGGGCTCCTAAAAGAATTCATCTCCAGTTCTTACTCGCTGCATAGGTTTGAAAATTTTAAATTTCATTGGATCGGTGGCATATAGAAAATATCACGGTTAAGATACCAGATAATAAGATGAATTGTTACAGATCTCCTCCTCGAACCAGACGCTCCTCAGCTTCAAGTGTGAGCAGTGGTGGAGGGCTGCCTGTGTCAACTCGCAACAGAAGTCGCTCTCCTAGCGCTTGCCTTCAGGCACCGCGCTCCAACTATGGGGGCAGCTCCACTGGTTTAGATTCCCTCAATGTGAATGGTGGACGCCGTAGTATCACACCGACAAGGAGTCGATCTCCAACTCCCAGACTGAGTGTAACCAAAACAACTTCAAGTTATGATGGCAACAATACGCGACTGAGTACATCTGGTCGAACTAGCAGAAACAGGAGTCGATCTCCCACACCACGCCCTCTCTCTCGGAACAAGAATACTTGTAATTCGCCAGCTGACAACAATAACAACGAAGGGGCCGATACCACGAATACCACGGCACCACCCGATCAGCAATCTCTCAATGATTCTGGCTCAGAGGTGTCTGATGAGGGATACCGTAGCCTGGGCATAATGGCTAGCTCTGCTGTGGATGGAACCACAATTAAAGCAGGCCAAGAAGAGCTTAGCAAGCCAGAAGAGGTGGTGGTGGTGGAGCCTGAGGACGCAGACCATTCAGGTATGCAATTTTGTCTGTCTGTCCATTGTGTAACGAGCAATACTTCTCACAGACTTTCCCGAATATTTATGATCTTGTTAAAAGAAACCAGTTTCAGTCACCAGAGTCAGCACAAGAAAACCCACTGCCAGGATGACTATCTGTGCTGCAGTGATGGATATCTGCAACATGAGGCTTGGAATTCAGATGCTGTAAACTGGATAATGTTGATTTGTCATGAACGACTTGCCGCTTATATCAGAACCTCGCCGCAGTGTAAGCACAAGTCCATGAAAATCAGACTTATAAATCGAAAATGTAACTACATGGTGAGATAACAAGAAAACTGCCTTGGCTTTTCTTGAAGTTTAGGTAGATTTCGTACAGAACTAAGTGTCGTTTCACGTAATTCTTTCCTTGAACCATCCAGACATCAACAGTTCTGTTACCATCATCATCAAACATTAATGAATGATATTCCATTCGCAGCTCCTCTGAAGAACCAATCAGCCTTTGATGTTACGAGAACTGTCTTGACTTAAAAGTGTCCTAATGAATGAAGCCATCATCGGAAGTGGGTCAGAATCATGTGCCCCCTACCTCCTCAATCCTTACCAATTCACCGTTCATGGCATTCCTGACGTTTCTGCTGCCATAAATCTCAGAGAAGTGGAATGGAGTCTTAGAGGAAAAGCTTCTTTGTTCTTGGGTCTGATTCCTCCTAAAAGACGATCATTAACTTCAAATTCATTTATAAAAAATTGAATACATTTCTGTTTCCTGTGACCCAAGACACTACTGGATAACTTTGTATGTCATTTAACAGCTGTGTGGCAAATATTGTAATGAAGAGCTTCATAACTTGTACTCTTCTCCAAGTATAATTAGAATGATCAAGTCAAAGAGGATCAGGTGGCCAGGGCATGTAGCACGAATGGAGAAGACTAGGAATGCGTAAAGGATATTGGTGGGAAAGGCAGAGGGAAAGAGACCACTGGGAAGACCAAGGCGTAGGTGGGTGGACTATTTTAAAATGGATCTTAGAGAGTTAGGATGGGATGGTATTGATTTGAATGATCTGACTGAGGATAGGGACCAGTGGAGGGCTCTTGTGAACACGGTAATGAACCTTCGGGTTCCATAAAATACTGGGAAATTCTTGAGTAGCTGCAGAATTAGCGGCTTTTCCAGAAGGGTTCAGCTCCATGATTGAGTAAGTAAGTAAGTAAGTAAGTGTCAAATATGTGTTTCTGTTTTCAGAGCCTAGGTGACATTGATAATTTGTCTTATCGCTATAGTTCCATTTGCATGTGTTAATTAATGCCTGAGGAGGGGTGAGTTCGCTGAAAATGTGAATAGGGACCATTCTTCAACAAAATTCGTCTTACAATAGCTCAACATCCTTAAAGGACACACCACTTTTTCTTGTATGATGTAAATTTTTAATATCCACTGAAAATTCCATGCAGTAACCAGGCAAATGANCGCCGTGAAAGCCTCAAATCTTACATAATTTCAAAACAATTATGTACCTGGGATTTAGCATTCAAATGGCTTTATGATTCTTTGAACCTATTTGTAAGAGTACAAAAACTTTTCTCATTTATGGAACCTTTATTACAGATGTGAGCCCATTACAGTTTGATCCATGATACAGACAGAATTTTGAAACATAAAGTAATATTTTAATAGCGACATGACATTCGAAGTATATAGCTCTGAGTTTACTGAAAACGCAGAATCCCTCACAAAGTACTGTGTACTCTTATACCTTTGCATAATTTTGTCATACGTAGGTCATTTCAGAAATAATGCACACAATTTTTCTTTACGTCCATGTTTTTTTTTAATATCTCTTTACAGTCCTTCAACATAGTACCCCTGCTTCTCAATGACCGAGTCCCTACATGTGGGAAGCTTTACTATTCCATCCAGGACACCATCTTTGTTTATCTGTCGAAATCTCGGGTACTGCAGCTGAAAGCTCTTCCAGAGAGGGAAAACTACGGCCTCGCTTAGGTTGTTTCAACTTTGGGAATAAGTCGAAGTCTGGTGGACTCATGTCTGGGTGTAGGGAGCATCCGTACTGGTGCAGCTTTTCTGTTACGACGTTCCCGATGTGCGGGCGAGCGTTGTCTTGGAGAATGATCGGCCAAGCCTCGAGCAACTGAGGTCGGTTTTTGTGCATTTTTCTGCGCAAATTTTGCGTAAGGTCACGATAATAAACCGCTGCGACACTTTTCCCGCACGGAACTCTGTCTGTCATGATGATTCCTTGGTGATCATAAGCAAAGATCATTTGTTTGACCTTTGATTAAGATCGTCGAAATCTTTTTGGTCGTGGGGAAGATGGACCTCTCCACTCGTTGGACTGTGATTTCAGCTCCCGTTCAAAGTCTCTAACTCACGTTTCATCAATTCTGTCGGGTTTTTTCCACGTAAAGTTTCGATCTTAATGTACGACCTTTGATCTTCAACAGTCACAATACCCGAGAACGGTGTAGGCTCCATTTCTAACTCACGTTATTTAAGAACAGAGTATATATAAATGAAACAAAATAAAGCGCTTCTTTCTCAAGCCCAGAACAGTAACTGACGTGAGGCTCACTGTTGTTACGTCATTTAATCTGTAGTGCTGCCAACCTGTGCATTATTTATGAAATGACCCATGTAAACCATCAGATCAAGCCATATCTGTGAATGACAGCCATTCTCATGCAACTTTAACATATTCCTCACATACTGACAATAAATTTATGCATGTAAGCCTTAAGTATTTTGATTTATAAATCACATCTTTTGAATTCGTAACCTCTATTTCATGTTTAATTTTCAGAGCGTCCCATTCCAACAGTCACAACACCGCGCCCCCTCTCAGAATGTAGCTCCTGTGATGATGTTGCTCCTTCACCCAGCAGACACAAAAGGACACCTAGTGATGTTCAGTGCCATCGGTTATCTGATGGTGCTCCAAATGATACCAAGATGACCCGGAGCAGATCAACTGGTGGGGCCCCCGGTCTTTTTGACCCTGGGTCTCCTGCCAGACGTGCTGGAGTGTATCGAAGTGTTCGGTCAGACCCCAGGGTCACACCATCCAAAACAGGGCAGCAGCATAATACATGGAGTGGTCGACAGGGGAAGGGAAAGCCACGGCCTTCACTAAATGGTTCTGGCTTTGAGAGAAACACAATGCTGCGCAGAAGCCTGGGATCAGCCAACTCCACACCGACTGCCCTGCGCAGAAATAAGGGCTCCTTGCCTGCTTCTTTACAGTGTTCTCCCACAAAACACATTTCCCCACTACTGGAGCAGATCCTTCAGGTGAGAGATCTAGACAATGATGTCACAGTTCTGAAGAAGATGAAGGAAATCATCCAACACTATGCTGACATTGTGGATGAGAAGTTGGTAGAGGAAAGACAACATGAAGAACAGACATTACCTCAGGAGGAACTAGACTTCACATCAGCCTGGGTGCATGGAAATGGATCTGTTGGACGAATCAGGAAGGTGAGTCCAAGTCCAAGGAAGGACTCCAAGGTGGATGGTGCTGTAAGCAGAATTCCTGCACCTGTATTCTACAGACCTGTGGCATCTACCACAGCAGAACTGACCACACGTGGTGACAGTTGACAGCCAAACACTAGATCTGACCAGTAGATTTACTGTTTCTTAGCAACTGCTATTTATGTATATACTGTCTCTTTTGTATGCCATTTGTAGTAATGGCAGGACATGTTGTCTAATATGCTTTGCTCTTCCAGGCGTTTATCTAATAATTTATTTATTTAATGAATGTATAGTTAATTCAGCTAGACATTAATTTGTACTTCAAGCACTGTTACATCGCGTCCACTGTTGTATCCATCCACTTCCTCTTTATATTGTTGTGAAGCAATTGTTTTGCTGACTTTAAAAGAAAGCACAAAATGGAAGATAGTGCAAGTTATATTATGATATGTAAAAGTAATAGCTATTTAACAAATTAACGCACATATATGCAGTTTTCTGCAATATTTAAACTTACTATTTCTACAATACTTTTGTACTTGGCAATAATATGTTGCTGTGTGTTAGCCAGACGTGATATAGAGTAGGCCATGTTAATGTATAGATTTATTATGCCCATAGTTTATATACATATATTTATAAGTGTTTCAAACTTTGAAGAACTAGGTTGCAGTTGATTTGGGCCGTTATATTTAAGAACATTCTAAGAATGTTGTATCAGTTTAAATTGAATATTAATTATCTTATTTTATTGTAATATGTGACATTGTAAAGAAGAGATTCTTGATTTATGAATATTGTTTAAATATGATAAAGGAAATATTTAGAACACAAACCTAAATGCCCAAATCAACAAGAAGGTGGGTGAAAGAAATGTGAATTGAAACAAAGCAGCTGACTGAAATTGGTGCCTAGTTTCCTTGTAATAATCTAGCTATTGCCTAAGTCCTACTCTCCCTATTAAGGGGCAGGTCAGTGCTGAGTGCTAGAAATGCTCAACAATGAAATATCATGACATTCCCAGTTTGTAGAAACATTCCTATTTTGGAGGCCATGTATTTTAGAAAGTACTTTTTTTTGGAACAAAATATTGTCACGTTTTGATGTTGCACTGTTACTCACAATGGCATTACTGTCTCCTAAGACACATAATTAAAATGTGTGTATATTAATTATTCTCTGGGTTGTGGTTTTGTTGCATTAAACAAACGTATGTAACATCTAACATCATTTTTTAATTTTGTCAAAGGAAACTTTTCTTTTGTGTGTATTATCTGATTAAGATTAATATTTTCAAGGATGTTGCATTACTTTGCAGTGATAGTGAAAATATCTCGCACCACCAGTAATAAATATTAACACCACCCACTGAACTTGTTTGATAATTTACACAAACTCTGTTTTTTATCATGTAACTGAAGCCTCAATAAACGATTATGAACATCAAATGGTCTTTGTTGTTTTATGCTACTGATAGTATTAGATATCGAACTACAAATTGTACAGTCTCCTGTGCTGATGAAGTTGGTTTATTTTTAGGTTAGGTGAAAGTTCTTTATTAACTGCAGTTATCAGTTGGCATATCACAATATAATGATCTTATGTGATGAAGTAGAAGTGACCGGAGAGGAAGGAGAAATTGCCTCTCATGAAGTACCTGCTGGGATTTGCATGGAAGTACTGAGGAAGAATGCGAGAAACTAAAATTACATATGGAAGTACAACTAATCAATCTAGAGTGTTTAATTTGTATGTGATGTAACTCCAGTCTGAAATAATGCATGTAGTTATAAGAGGTTAAACAGTTCCGTCCAGTGTGACTAGTAAAGGTTTTTCTTATTTCAGTCCATCATCCCTTACATGTTTCGGTCTTTACAGACCATCCTCAGAGGGACATCAATACAAGCGGAAATGTTTAACCTCATATATTTTTAGTGTGACGGACCAGAATGAAACAAATCAAATGCATGTTGTTTATTTCAAGCTTGTAAATAGTACAAAGAACATTCATAAGAAATGTGACTACTGCTATCCATCTACAATTCTTGTGTATTTAAGAAGATTAATTACATTCAAAATAAGTACAATATACTCCCCATTATCCGTGCTCGGTTTATCCGTGAGCTTTCTCAAGCATGCAGTGTCCAATAAATTTGGCCAGCCCGTTTGTCTGCCTCTATGCTTCTCTGCTTGAAACAAGTTGAGAACTGCGGGGTGGATTTTTGTGAAGCGTTTTATTGGGTGTCTTACGAAAAACAATTTCAACAATTTCAACAGCCACTGCATATGACCTTATGCTCATGCTCTTATGTCTGGTGTAACTCACTAAATGTTATGTGGAGCAAAATATGTTTGGGATAAGTGTTTGAAAGAAGCACAGATTTTGTATTCAGTATATACGTATTTCCGCAAATCTTGCGGTTTTCGAGATAATTAAAATCGGACATTGTGTGCATATTTCAGAATTTCCGCATATTTTAGATAATCCTTCTTTTTTCTTTTCGTTATTTCTACGTCTTGCCTCCAGATTAGAACGGACAACTGGAAATATACTGTACACTGCGAAATTCTATTAAGTGTGCAGGTAACCGTCATCTGGAAAGATAAAGTGTTACCAGATACCTCCCCTCCAATAATTGTCAATTTGGGGGGAATCTGATATACTTACGGCAGTCACTATAAAGTGTACGGTTCCCTGTTTTGTAGTGCCCTGTATTTCGGCAAGAACCACGATTTGGGTGGGAAGGACGTGTTCCCATCTTCAGAGTCTTGATACCTGCTTCTGCTAGTATCTTTGACTTACTCCTGAACCTCGAAAATGGTTGCGATATGTTCTCCAGAACGCCGAGCTATCTCCAAACTACACGATGTTACAGCCCAGAAGTTCGCAATCTTCAATTCTTAATTTAGTTTCCTGTGAAGACGAATACCAACTCTACAGAACAAAGATTTGGCTACAGCTTTGCGAGCAGACCTGTCACCAGTTTCCACACAACATTAACATTTCTGTTTCGTTTGTAACGTTCGTAGAGACAGTGTCACGTAAGTTCGAACGAGGCCACGCATTCCCCGCATTCCCGCAACCCACCCCCTTGTCTGAAATGTTTCTTCTGCGCATTCAAGGTTACTCTTGGCGCTCTTAGCCTTGTTCGAAGTTACGTGACACTTGCTATACCTACCAGAAAAAGAAACTACAATCTGAAGACCCATCATTGTACCAAACTGAAAAATTTGAACATCACTGATCATCCGGACTACAGGGAATGGATTAAGGGAAACCAATAACTGTGTTTATCAGCATTCATATGAATTATACATATCCAGGGTTCGCGAAGACTGCGCCATTCACATAAAAGAATTTCAGGTTATGATAACTTTTAGATGAAGTCTGAGGTTTATGAAGTAACCCGAATTAGTGAAATTAACCCCCCCGCCTCCCTTAGATCATAATGGAAGAATTGAGTGATGCCACGCAACTTTCCAAATAAGGGCCCTAATATCACTTGAAGACCGAAAAATATTGCTGTTGAGTACTCAGGTTTGCGGGGATGTGTACAGTGATTGTCAGGACACCACGCGCATGCGCCACACTATTATACTATCCCAACCATAGCCCGTGTGTATCTACAGTAATTCATCTAACAGAACTGACTAAAGGAGGCTGGGGTCAATGTTTTCTGTTAAGTGAATATTTGCCATTCCGTATCGAGATGTTTTCTACGGAAAGAAGCAGGGTGCAAGAAAACTGATGGGAGCATAGTTACTTTCTCTGTAGATCTTTAAACACACAGTAGGGACTTCCCAGGTTTCTAACAGTTCAGACTCTGTTTACTCTGTTTTCAGACAATTGTTATGCTTGGAGCATTCATAGCTTCACAATGGATACAGACACTCACATGAACAGCTGGGACAGTAACTCTCCGAACTCAGCATCTAGAATAGTAGCAACAGTTGCAAATGTCACACAGAATCACTGGGTTTTTAGACTTTTTCCATCGTCCGGAATTCTAGATAATACAGGACACGACGTTTCGGAAACTGGATCTGTTTCCGTCTTCAGGTGAGAAAGGAAGACACCTATTCAGTTGGGCTCCTTAGAAAGAACTAATCCAGTGATTGAGATTAGCTCTTTCTAAGGAGCCCAACTGAGTAGGTGTCTTCCTTTTTCACCTGAAGACGGAAAGAGATCCAGTTTCCGAAACGTCGTGTCCTTTATTACCTAAAGTGTCCTCTATTATCTAGAATTCCGGACGATGAAAAAGCCCCAAAACCCAGTAATTCTGTATGTCATCCACCTTCGTCAGAACCCTTTAGAATCTAGTTGCAAATCTGTTTCAGTACTTCTAATGCGGGAAGATTTATTTCATTTGGAAAAAAAACAAAACAAAGGAATAACTTACCTGTTTTCCTGCCGATTACCTCTTCTACATAGGCCAAAAGATGGATATATGTAATATCATTTCCCTATTTACTATTACAGCGATTTTCAACCGGTGTGCCGCGGCACATGAAGGGTCCGCAGGTGTGCAGCGGGAGTTTGTGTCAAGGCCGAAAAGAAGCGAGAAAATATGGAGGAATAAAAAAATTGTCGAAAACCATGAACAATATTTAAAAAAATATATAATAAAATTTTATCTATTGAATTTTTAAACATAATCTTGTTACTCTTTTTAATGATAAAATCTTTCTTTTAAAAATAGCGTGTCTTGACAATTTTAGCCCCTTTTTCTGTGTGCAGTGAGTTGAAAACGGTCGAAAAACCCTGGTGCAGTGAAAGGAGAGGGAATGGTGACGCACTTTCAAGAAAATCTTCTCTTTTGAAGACTTGTTCCGTTTTTGCCTTCTCCTATTAAAAGTTTCTCACTGGAGTTTTGTTTCTTCCTTTGCTCCTTTTGTGCTCCTATTGTGCTCCTATTGTGCTCCTATTAGTTCTGATAAATGGACGAAAGGATGTTTCATATTTGAAGTTAATTTTTGTTGTTTTTAAATATATGTATTTTATTTTATAAAATTAATTGCTTAACGGCGTTGTAAGCGTCCAGAATATATAGCGTCCATTTATTTCACGGTGTATTTTATAAAAATATATCTTCATGTTCTATGATTGATCCAATATTAAAATTAATACAATTGACCAATATGTCCCTTTTGACAAGAATTGTATTTCTGGAATATTTTCCATTCTTTCAATTTATAACAAAATTATCCAGAACAGAAAGTGTTTGTTGTACCACTTTTCCGTTAAATGCCATGTTGATTGATGTTCTTCTGTCACAGAAGTTCCGTGCTTGCTTCTGGTAGGAATACGAACTGCTATTGTATGTAAAAGAGGCAAATAGACGTGTACAGTCAAATTAGAAACCCATCGTTACTGAAATGGAAGAATAAAGATGTAAAAGAAGAGGTTGTTTAACAAAATTTTTATATTATCTGGTAATTTGGTCAGGGACTTGACCTATTTGCTCCAAGGCGCAGTAAACCACATGGCCTGTAAACTATTCTTGTTTCAGTTGTCAATACTGGACTCATACAAGAGATAAACACACAATAAATTGAGGAAGCGTGTTGGATGAAAGAAGTGTCGGTAAGAAGAATAAGGATTAAAAAACGAAGGAAAAGAAACCGGATTTAAATGAGAGGAGAAGTAAATTTACTTTCTTTTTCATTTCCCTTTCGTTTGAGAATTGCCTTGTAGTCAAGTATAATAAAAATAAAAACAGGTAACAATTCCATGACCATATGCGGTACGAACAGGTTGCTGGACAACCAAGGTCAATGTCACAGTACTAGTTTTTACCTGCTCACTCACTATAACAAACTATATGGTTTAAAATTCGCGGTCATAAATAAATACAGAACTGGAATTGCAAGAGAACTAGGCCGTTTCTAATTCAGTTAAAACAACAATGATGCAGTCCTGTTGCAGTTAAGAACGACCACACAAGACGTATAAATAACACGGCTGTATCAAAGTGTTCACAACTTTCAGTTTAATGCCCTCTGCGTAAGAACGTT